CCAGGACGCTCGCCAGGCAGAAGGCCTCCCGCCGGCACCGCAAGAAGTACCATCACCGGGGGCGCTGGGGCCGCTGGAAGCCACAGATCTGGGAGTCGCTGGGCGGGGGCAGCTCGGACTCCTCGGACCAGGACTGGCTGCTGGGCAGCTCTCCGTGCCAGCCCTTCCAGAGTGCCTATTTCTTTGTGGACGGTGAGTCGAGGTTCCGGCCCCTCCTACCGGCAAAAAGAGCAAGAGCCCCCACCCCTTGAAAGTCTCCTTAATTCACTTATGGAATTCATTGCCACAAGAACTTGGGAAGATCACCAGTTTTCCCGAAGCTGCTGCATGGCAGAGGTGGTGAACTACAAGTCCCATAACTCCCACCTGCATGTGCAACAGATGTGCTGGCTGGACTTAAGGGGGGGCATCCATGCTCCCAGGTTTGTAATGGCAAAGGCCGCAATCACTCAACATCTTTATATTGGTTATGGCATTTCCGCGTTCCCACAGACACCAAACCCTGCAGTGCCTAACTTAGCAGGAGGGAAGATGGCCACAAACAGATGGGGAGGAGGGGTGTGGGGAAGGGGCGCTGCTGACCCGCAGCTCTTGAGGCTGACCGCCATTTGCCTTTCTCCTCCAGACCACTACTACCGGTTCAACCTGCGGACTCAGCGGGTGGACTGGGTATACCCCAGGTATCCGCGCCCCATCGCCAAATACTGGCTGGGCTGCTCATCGGAGGATCTGGCCTGAGCCCAGCTACAGACCCCTCCGGACCTGCTGATTCGACAAATAAAGCCTGTGCCCACCAGCCTGAGTCTGTGTCTGCTCCTTGGGCAAGGGGGAGAGAGTGGGTCCTAATGACCCCTGCGCACCTCACTGGGGCCTCAGAAAGAGGACCCGTCTTTGGGGGGAGCCAGGGGGTGCTTGGCAACAATGACAAGCGTGCTCTCTGGACAGGAGGGTCTCCAGGCCGGGCCGCATTCATAGGGTGGCCCAAAGCTTGCCTTTGGGAGTAGCCTTCCTCCCCAGCTCCCAGTTCCTGCCTCTCCTGAGCTAGAAAAGGTGGTGCAGAATTAAGTGTCCCGGTGGGGAGGGGTCCAAAATTGGGACGAGGGCAAAGCCACCAGCGGTGGGGGCCACTTCCATAGGAGAATGAGCCAGGTCAAGGGGCAGGTCAAGGAGCTGGACAGCAGGGGCCGGGGCTGACGAGAAGGGATAAAAGGGTGAAGCGGTGCCAGCGATGGAAAGCGTTGCTGCAACTGTCAGTGGGATGGGCATGGTGAAGAGAGAGAAGGCGTGCATCTTGCTCTGGCACCACCCCTCCTTTGCCCTGACCCGCGGGCCGCAGAGCAACCGATGGAGCTTGGATCAGGTACGGTACGTGGAGGAGGCGGGACGGGAGGAGGGCCACCCCGCCTGTGCCCAACGATGCTGGTTGCGGTGCTCCTGAACCCTGTGGAACCCCGCACAGCGGGGGCCGACATCAACTGGTACCAACCCGCAGAAAGGAAGAGAACCGGCGCAATACTGTGCCACCCACTCCCACCCTGTGGAGCTGATACAAAAGGATACCACGGTCAAGAAGAGCCAGTGCTGGCCACGGGGTTACCAACTAATTGGGGAATGTTTTTACCTGGTACAAGAGAGCGCCAAATTTCGCACAGGGACAGATACATAACCCCGTCCTGCTCCCGCCAGAGATCATCCAAGAGTAGGACTAATGCCATTGTGGAATCAAAACGCGGGACCCAAAGGCAAAACCACCAGGGCTTCCCTACAGTGCTTATTAGGCAACACATACTGGAGGGGGACCCCACCGAAGGTTAGTGGGAGACGCTCCCCTGCAGGCAGAATGGACGCCCTGACGTTTATACAGTTCTACAAGAAGGGGAAGGGAAAAGAGCACATACGTATACGTATTCATATGACGATGCAGGTACGTTTTAATGAGCGACTCTTCTCAAGTTACTTTCTGGCCCTCTCTTCTCTGCTATCTACAAGGACAGGACAACTGCTATCTATAAGGAGAGCAGTAGTGTCAGAGGGGAAGAAACAAATGGTTCAGGGTGCCAGCTGCCAGGAAGAAGGCGCCCTCCCTTGCGTTGCTCTTGGGGATGTTTGTGATAAGGGGTTTACATTCGGCCTAGTTCACACCGG